ACACACACACACACACACACACACACACACACACACACACACACACACACACACACCAGGAGCTGTGAGAAAAAAAAAACATACACTTCAGAAAAGGCAAAAAAAAAAATTCAAATCTCAGCCAGCTGTAAAATGTGTCTAATATTAGGTTTGTGATCGAGATAAACCCCCTGTAAAACATTTATTTGAGTTTTAGGGAAAAGCAAAAGTTTTTGGTTCTAATTTTAAATGGTAAAACAACATAAATCAACAAGCTTCATTCGTGGGAAAAATGTCTAAGCAGTCGGTAAAGATCATATTTGTAGTCTGTCAGTAAATMATTGTACAGTCAGCCACTCTCAAGACAAACTAATTGTCTCAACCTAAAAACCTAACATGACCTTCGCCTCCTGTGCTCTCCTGTTCTGCCCGTGACGTGACAAGACTTCTGTCTGTCTACAGATGACTGAAGGATAAATAGTCATGCTAGGTGTAGCGGTGCCAGAACAAGACACAATCTAGTTTACATCCCAAGCATATTACACACTCCTGCTATCATGTAATATTGCAACAGTCACTCTTTTACTCAGGTTTCTCACAGGCTTGTCCCTCGACTGCAAAGTGACCAATAAACAGGTAGCTCTGGATAACTTTCTCAAACTCTCACACCTTATGGCGTTTGAACTATGACTTGTGCACAGTCATCATTCTGAAAGGTCATGCAACTCAAATTTCAGAMCYACAGAAAAGGTATATAAAATCTGAYATTAAGAACTGCAGCAAAGGTCTCTGCCAAACAGCAGCAATAAAGTACCATGAAAATGACAATTAATGAATATTAATAAAAAAGCAGGAACTGAGAACAGAAGTGTTTTCAGATAGACAACAAAGCAGGTTTTCAGTCATCCATGTTCTTATTAAAATTAAGTGTTTACCTAAAGATAAARGACATTCTCTTTGTTCCTGAAGATGTTTTACCTCTGATCTAAAAAGGCCTAGCAGATGTTACAGGCTGTTTAGTGGTTTGTACTGTTTTGCCAGACCTTGAGATTTTATACGTAGAGATAACATTTAAAGATAGTTGGCACCTTGATTTATATGATATAGTCACAACTTGAAAACCAAACTTTCGGAGAGGACTAGGATTAGGTATCAGGAAATACTCCACTGCCACATTCAGGCTGCAAAACAACCCAATAAGAAAACTAAAACAAATAAATAAATCCTGGAATGAATGAAGAAACATAATATAAAAACAATACTATAAAAAACAATTACCAAAACTAAGAAGCTTCTAAATGAACAACTAAAAACTTTTGGCTACAATGAACAAATATCTGTGTGGAGAAAAAGCCACAAAAATTCTAAAAAACTCATTCAATATATTTCTCATTATGTGTGGGGGAATGGAATGTGCATTAGGGTTTAGGAATATTTTATTGTTTTTTAAAAAATGGATACAATTAAAAACAATAAATACCAAAAGTAAACAGCATGTTATTAGAAGATTGTTTGATTTCCTATTATGACGCTTTTCTTTTTCATGAAATATATTTGATCTTATTGCAAATGCTGTTTGTTCCTCTGTATTTTCCTTCGACTGACAGCTTGATTTGACTGGATGGGAYGCAAATCAGGTTTCCAACCAGCATGCGTCATCTCACGCCAGGCGTTTCTGACATGGTAAATGTGCTAACAGTGAAAATTGAAGTGGATGTTTTCCACTGGGGCATTTCACTAATTTATGGGCCCAATAAGAGAAGCGGGAAGAAAATGACGACGATGAATAAAGGAAACACTCTCGTGTGGCTTTGGAGCACAGATTACGGCAGTTTTAACCATGTTCATATTGAAAGAAATTGCAGATAAAAAATAACATTTATGCTCACTTTATGAGTTGTGGGAACAGATGTACAGAGCAAAAGGTCAAAAGGGATGTTTTTAAACCCTCAGGTGCCTCGGGCCTGTTAGAATCAGCTGAGTTTTCATATGATTAAAGGATGTTGTTGACAAATTGTCACTGGAGGCTGCTGTGAGGTCTGCACAGAGTGTACAACTTCAAAACATGTTCTCCCACTTTCTATTATCAGTTTGACTCATGAGCAAGTCAAGAAAGAACTGAAAATTCACATTTTGTGCTCAGTATGATAGTATTTGAATAAATATTAGTGATGTGCAGATCGATACTGAAATATCAATACTAGGGCTGCCACGATTAATCGATTAATCGACGACTAATCAATTATTAAAATAATCGATGACTAATTTAATAATCGATTAATCGTTTTTTTTTTGTTCTTTACTTGGTTTTTCTCTCCAAACTGCTTTGACAGCTTCCACTGCCACATCTGCCTTTCTGTCCTTGACACACATGCACAGTAGTGGTAACTGGGGTAGGCCGTGGACGTCACAAGACATTATACAGAATAGAAAAAAATTGTGTAGGTCTTCTGGACGGGTTCTTCTCTAATGAAACGTTTCGTC